TTACACCATCATCTGTATGGAGTTCTAAAACATCACCAGATTAAACCTGAAATAAGATGCTGCTTAACTCACGTTTCTGCATAATTGAGGTGGAGTGTTTCTTTGGGTGGAAATTTTTAAACATCCTTTGCCTGTGCTAAACTACCTCTGTTGAGTATTTTTTGAATCTCAGACTAAGTTCATGGTGCCACTACAAGCAGTAAAACTAACTCCGAGACCTGTTAGTTGACAGTTGCCTGAAGCTACAGGTCATAGTTCCCTTGAATTCTAAAACTAAATAATGCACAACACAGTAGTATTTACTAAGAGTGATCTCATCTAAGCTTAAACCCTGTAATGTATCACCCAAGAGCTGGTACACACAAACATCTACCTTCCTGAAGAGAGAATAAGTAGCTACAAAAAGGAATGCATTTTTTAAACATGAAAGTCAGAAAACAAAATAATACAAGTTAAATGTGCATATGATATGGCTCTACTGTACAATTTTAAATTGACTATCAGTTGCTATCCACCTCGACTATATAAATGTTGAACAAATATTTATACTTTCAATCTGAGGAGTGGCACATTAGTGTCCTGTCTCATTCACTCTTGTATCCTCAATGTCTAGAACAATGCCTGACATATTACAGGCACTTGATAAATATGCTCAGTAAATGAACGGATGGGCATTTACATGCTTGTTGTCCTTGGACCAGTGGCACTGTCATCACCTGAGAGCTTTTGAGAATTGTAGAATCTGGGACGCACCCCAGACCTACAAAATCGGAATCTGTGATGGCTCTGTGTAAACTGGACTGACCGCTTTTGAGAACAATTTGGCATCAAATTAAAAAGTTGAACATGTATAGACAGTATGATTCAGCAATTCTATGAGTAGGCATATAATCAAGAGAAATTCTTGCACATTTTCATTATAAAACATGTACCAGAAGTGCTTATATCAGGACTGTTTCTCATAGCAAAAAAAGTGGAAGCAAGACAAGCATCTGTCATCAGTAGGAAGGGATGAATAAAATAGAGCATATTATACAATTCAGAAACTAAACAGTAGCAAAAATAAATGAACTACAGGTCTATGCATCCCGATGAACATGCCTCTAAAACATAAGGTTGAGTGAAATAAGGAAGCAACAGAAGAATGTACACAGTATTATTCCATTTGTATAAAGTTCAAAAAGAGGTAAGGTAATGATCAAGCAATTCTACTCTCGGGTGTATATCCAAAAGAAACAAAAACACTAATTCAGAAAGATACATGCATCCAATATTCATAGCAGCATTATTTACAATTGCCAAGGTATGGAAACAATTGTACCATCACAGATGAATGGATAAAGAAGGGGTGGTATGTATATACAATGGAATACTACTCAGTCATAAAAAAGAAGGAAATTTTGCCCCTTGTAGCAGCATGGATGGACTTGGAGGACTTTATGCTAGGTGAAATAAGTCAGGCAGAGAAAAACAAATACTGTATGATATCACTTATATGTGGAATCTAAAAACTACTACAAAATAGTGAATATAAAAAAAAGTAGCAGACTCACAGATATAGAGAAAAAACTGATGGTTCCCAGTTGGGGTAGGAGAGCAAGGGCTACTGTAAGGTGCGGGAGTCAGAGGTGCAAACTATTGGGTGTAAAATAGGCTCAAGGATGTATTGTACAACACAAGGAATATAGCCAATATTTTGTAAAAACCGTAAATGGAAAGTAAACTTTAAAACTGTATGAAAGGGCTTCCCTGGTGGCGCAGTGGTTGAGAGTCCGCCTGCCGATGCAGGGGACACGGGTTCGTGCCCCGGTCTGGGAGGATCCCACATGCCGCGGAGCGGCTGGGCTCGTGAGCCATGGCCGCTGGGCCTGCGCGTCCGGAGCCTGTGCTCCGCAACGGGAGAGGCCACCACAACAGTGAGAGGCCCGCGTTCCGCAAAAAAAAAAAAAAAAAAAAAAAAACAAAACTGTATGAAAAATTTTTTTAAAATTTTAAACAGCCCCTCTCAGGGGGTGAGCAAGGGCACCTGCTACTTGGTTTCACTCCCTCATGATACAGTAGGAGTCCTAGTAAAGCCTTGCCTGAATTTCTCATCTGGCCTGTCATCAATTTCTATCAATTACAGAGTCCAAGGACCCTGGTTGGTAACAAAAGCGGGCTGACGCTAGGATGTGTGAGGATCCTGGGTTAGAGGGAGCCTGTCAGGAGCTTCCTGTTTCTGGAGCCACTGAACCCCAGTTGCAGAGCCAGCTCACACTGAGGTGCTATAATACCTTACCTGGAATCCTTGGCTCTTATGAAGGTATTTTTGGGCTCAGATAGTTGTTCAAATTGATGTTTCTGGGGGAGGACAAGCGCTAGAAATTGCTATACTTGTCATGTTGCTGACATCACCTCAACAATATATCTTGAAGTCGTGTGGCTGACAGGGTCTTGGTGCTCCGGCCTAGTGTCAGGCCTGTGCCTCTGAGGTGGGAGAGCCGAGTTCAGGACATTGGTCCACCAGAGACCACCTGGCTCCACAATATATCAAACAGCGAAATCTCTCCCAGAGATCTACATCTCAACGTTAAGACCCAGCTCCACTCAACAACCAGCAAGCTACAGTGCTGGACACCCTATGCCAAACAACTAGGAAGACAGGGACACAGCCCCACCCATTAGCAGAAAGGCTGCCTAAAATCATAATAAGGTCATAGACACTCCAAAGCACACCACTGGACACAGTCCTGCACACCAGAAAGACAAAGACCAGCCTCATCCACCATAACACAGGCACCAGTCCCCTCCACCAGGAAGCCTACACAACCCACTGAACCAACCTTAGCCACTGGGGACAGACACCAAAAACAACGGGAACTACGAACCTGCAGCCTGCAAAAAGGAGACCCCAAACACAGTAAGATAAGCAAAATGAGAAGACAGAGAAACACACAGCAGATGAAGGAGCAAGGTAAAAACCCACCAGACCAAACAAATGAAGAGGAAATAGGCAGTCTACGCGTAAAAGAATTCAGAGTATAGATGATCCAAAATCTTGGAAATAGAATGGGGAAAATACAAGAAACGTTTAACAAGGACCTAGAAGAACTAAGGGCAAACAAACAATGATGAACAACACAATAAATGAAATTAAAAATTCTCTAGAAGGCGGCTTCCCTGGTGGCGCAGTGGTTAAGATCCACCTGCCAATGTAGGGGACACGGGTTCAAGCCATAGTCCAGGAAGATCCCACATGCCATGGAGCAACTAAGCCCGTGGGGCACAACTACTGAGCCTGCACTCTAGAGCCCAGGCACAACAACTACTGAAGCCACGTGCCACAACTACTGAAGCCTGCACACCTAGAGCTCATGCTCTGCAACAAGGGAAGCCACCGCAATGAGAAGCCTGGGCACCGCAACGAAGAGTAGCCCCTGCTTGCCGCAACTAGAGAAAGCCCACACACAACAATGAAGACTCAACACAACCAAAAATAAAAATAAACGAAATAAATAAATTTATTAAAAAAATTCTCTAAAGGAATCAATAGCAGAATAACTGAGGCAGAAGAATGGATAAGTGACCTGGAAGACAAAATGTGGAAATAACTACCACAGAGCAGAATAAAGAAAAAAGAATGAAAAGAATTGACGACAGTCTCAGAAACCTCTGGGACAACATTAAATGCACCAATATTCGAATTATAGGGGTCCCAGAAGAAAAAGAGAAAAAGAAAGGGACTGAGAAAATATTTGAAGAGATTATAGTTGAATTATAGTTGATGCTACCAGAAAACTACTAGGTTATAGTTGAAAACTTCCCTATGGGAAAGGAAATATTCAGTCAAGTCCAGGAAGTGCAGAGAGTCCCATACAGGATAAATCCAAGGAGAAACACGTCAAAACACATATTAATCAAACTATCAAAAAATAAATACAAAGAAAAAATAGTAAAAGCAGCAAGGGAAAATAACAAATAACATACAAAGGAATTCCCATAAGGTTAACAGCTGATCTTTCAGCAGAAAGATCAGAAAACTACTAGAGCTAATCTATGAATTTGGTGAAGTAGCAGGATACAAAATTAATGCACAGAGATCTCTTGCATTCCTACACACTAATGCTGAAAAATCTGAAAGGGAAAGTAAGGAAACACTCCCATTTACCTTGGCAACAAAAAGAATAAAATACCTAGGAATAAACCTACCTAAGTAGACAAAAGACCTGTATGCAGAAAACTATAAGACACTGATGAAAGAAATTAAAGATGATACCAACAGATGGAGAGATATACCATGTTATTGCATTGGAAGAATCAACACTGTGAAAATGACTATACTACCCAAAGCAATCTACGTATTCAATGCAATCCTTATCCAACTACCAATGGCACTTTTTACAGAACTAGAACAAGAAATTTCACAATTTGTATGGAAACACAAAAGACCCCAAATAGCCAAAGCAATTTTGAGAAAGAAAAATGGAGCTGGAGGAATCAGGCTCCTGGACTTCAGACTATACTACAAAGCTACAGTAATCAAGACAGTATGGTACTAGCACAAAAACAGAAATATAGGTCAATGGAATAGGATAGAAAGCCCAGAGATAAACCCACACACATATGGTCACCTTATTTTTGATAAAGGAGGCAAGACTATACAATGGAGAAAAGACAGCCTCTTCAATAAGTGGTGCTGGGAAAACTGGACAGCTACATGTAAAAGAATGAAATTAGAACACTCCCTAACACCATACACAAAAATAAACTCAAAATGGATTCGAGACATAAATGTAAGACCAGACACTATAAAACTCTTAGAGGAAAACATAGCAGAACACTCTATGACATAAATCATAGCAAGATGCTTTTTGACCCAGCTCCTAGAGAAATGGAAATAAAAACAAAAATGAACAAATGGGACCTAATGAAACTTAAAAGCTCCTGCACAGCAAAGGAAACTACAAATAAGATGAAAAGACAACCCTCAGAATGGGAGAAAATATTTGCAAATGAAGCAACTGACAAAGGACTAATCTCCAAAATTTACAAGCAGCTCATGCAGCACAATATCAAAAACACGAACAACCCAATCCAAAAATGGGCAGAAGACCTAAATAGACATTTCTCCAAAGAAGATATACAGACTGCCAACAAACATATGAAAGGATGCTCAACAGCACTAATCATTAGAGAAATGCAAATCAAAACTACAATGAGGTATCACCTCACACCTGTCAGAATGGCCATCATCAGAAAATCTACAAACAATAAATGCTGGAGAGGGTGTGGAGAAAAGGGAACCCTTTTGCACTGTTGGTGGGAATGTAAATTGATAAAGCCACTATGGAGAACAGTATGGAGGTTCCTTAAAAAACTAAAACTAGAACTACCATATGACCCAGCAATCCCACTACTGGGCATATACCCTGAAAAAACCATAATTCAAAAAGAGTCATGTACTACAATGTTCATTGCAGCACTATTTACAATAACAAGGAAATGGAAGCAACCTAAGTGTCCATCAACAGATGAATGGATAAACAATATGTGGCACACATATACAATGGAATATTACTCAGCCATAAAAAGAAACGAAATTGAATTATTTGTAGTGAGGTGGATGGACCTAGAGTCTGTCATACAGAGTGAAGTAAGTCAGAAAGAGAAAAACAAATACCGTATGCTAACACATATATATGGAATCTTAAAAAAAAGAAAAATGGTTATGAAGAACCTAGGGGCAGGAGAGTAATGAAGACACAGATGTAGAGAATGGACTTGAGGACACAGGGAGGGGAAGGGGTAAGCTGGGAGGTAGTAAGAGAGTGGCATGGACTTATACATACAGCCAAATGTAAAATAGGTAGCTAGTGGGAAGCAGCCACATAGCACAGGGAGATCAGCTCAGTGCTTTGTGACCACCTAGAGCAGTGGGATAGGGAGGGTGGAAGGGAGATGCAAGAGGGAGGAGATATGGGGATATATGTATATGTATAGCTGATTCACTTTGTTATAAAGCAGAAACTAACACACCTTTGTAAAGCAATTATACTCCGATAAAGATGTTTAAAAAATAAAAACTAAATAGATGCCTGTGGAATAAATAATTAATGAAACTTTAAAAACACCATTACATGTCAAAAAATGGTCCACTTAGACCAATGTTCTATCTTGGAGAAGAGCATTTTTTTTTTTTTTTTGCTTTTATGATATTAGTCTCAAAAGTCAAGAGAAGTACCCCTTCATCTACAATTCCCAAGATTTCCCTATAATGACCCTTTTAACAGAATGTGCATATAAATTTGGTTAATGACCGGATCATACATGATTTTCCAAATATAATTGGAAGACAGTTTTTTTTAAAGCTGTCATAGAGGGGTTTGATTTGTGGTAAAATAATTTAGCCATCTTGGGGATGTTCACCTTCTAGGCAAGCTTCTTAGTTGTACTCGTATTAATTTGGAGACCTTTTGCTTGAAGGCAGTACTTATATCCTACTGTATGAACTGAAGGAGATATGTCTCCTTTCTCTTTTCATACCAGTAAAATCAGATGGTAAAGCTATGACACAGGCTTGGCCAACAGGTATTATCTTGTAGGACTTTGAATCTTGAGCAAGTGATAGCACAATACGACCCGTTAGCATTGTGTGACCTTCCCTGGTTATCTTCTGCGTAGCCCTCCAGAACTCACTTGGTACCTGTCAAGTTTTCAAGCCTGGTCCTCCAGTCTTCTAATATATATTCCAATATATTGGAATTCCAATATATTCCCTTTCTGCTTCAGATTATTATGTAATTTTCTATTGTTTGCAACCACATGCAAAGGATGATATAGTGTTGTTAAAGATGTAAGAAAACATGTTACTCTTTATCCTCATTCAAAACTGATTAAAATTCAAAAATTCAATAAAAAGAAGAGGGAGGAGATATGGGGATATATGTATAGCTGATTCACTTTGTTATAAAGCAGAAACTAGCACACCATTGTAAAGCAATTATACTCCAATAAAGATGTTAAAAAAAATTTTAACAGGTAAAATTCAACAATTATAATATTTAGAAATGCATTTATAGATGGTAAAGCTATTTAAATTAAAAGCATGGGGTGATTGACACAAAATTCGGGATAGTGTTTACCTCTTGTTGGGGAGAAAAAAAGGGGGTGAAATTAGGGAGAGGCACACAGGATCCTTCTTAGGTCATGCTACTCAAGATGTAATTTGTGGACCACCACCTTCTGCGTCACCTGGGAGCTGGTTAGAAATGCTTAATCTCAGGCTCTTCCCCAAACCTACTGAATCAGAATCTGCATTTTAACATGATCCCCAGGTGATTCATAAGCACGTTAAAGATACTTGTAAAGTTCTATTTTTAAGGTAGATAGTGCATACATAGTTGTTTATTTTAGCAATATTCTTTAAATGGTGTAGATTTTATACTTTTGCATGTGTATTTTGTAATTAATAACATTTTTAAATATATAGTTTGAATAAAGTTTTTAAATATTTTTAAGTATACATATAGAAACAAAGACAAAAAGGAAGGCCACAAAGATGCCAAAGAACTGAAACCAAACCCAGATATTTAGACTCAAAATCCAATGCTATTTCTACTCTTCCATGCCTTTGCCCCAAGGCAGTAAATGAACTGACTCCAAGGAATTGATCCATTTCCAATTCATGTTGCAACTGGATGGGCCAAAGGCCATGATAAAAATAGAAGACTCTTGGAAACTTTGGTGAACTGATCATTTTTATTTAGATATTCTGGGATGGGATAGGAAAGTTATTTTTCTATTTAGATAATCCCTGCCTCTCCTGGAAATACTTTCCTGAAAAATGTTTTGGAGAGTGGAACGCCTGAAACTTGAACCTTGTACTTACATGCTTTATATGTCTGGAAGGAAAGAAGGGAGAGAAGGGGCACAATTCAGAGAGTTAATAAAATTATGAAGTCTCAAATATGATATAAACACTTAATTTGATTTTGTACCTGAATGTTATACACTGTATACATGAATATTTAAATTATTAACAATAGGGCTTCCCTGGTGGCGCAGTGGTTGAGAATCCGCCTGCCAATGCAGGGGACGCGGGTTCGTGCCCCGGTCCGGGAAGATCCCACATGCCGCGGAGCGGCTGGGCCCGTGAGCCATGGCCGCTGAGCCTGCGCGTCCGGAGCCTGTGCTCCACAATGGGAGAGACCACAACAGTGAGAGGCCCGCATACCGCATTAAAAAAATATATATATATTAACAATAGATTATACTTTAAATACTGACAATCAAATTTAATTTTTCTTCTTCTTCTTTTTTTTTTTTTGGCCAGGCTGAGGCTTGCAGGGTCTTAGTTCCCCAATCAGGGATCGAAGCCAGGCCCCCGTCAGTTAAAGCACCAGGTTGTAACCACTGGACCACCAGGGGACTCCCTCAAATTTTATTTTCTGCTGTAACTTTGCAATTCAAAAATCCTTATTCATTTGGTTTATTTGAAAGGAGATTTAATTTTATTGTTGAATATAAAGATCTGCTAATAGTAATCATGCAAATAATGGAGTTAGAAATCGTGTAACTCTGAAAATGACTTTTCAATGCTCTTTTAAATTTTGTAAAGAGAAGGGACTTCCCTGGTGGCACAGTGGTTAAGAATCCACCTGCCAATGCAGGGGTCATGGGTTCAATCTCTGGTCCAGGAAATCCCACATGCCGCAGAGCAACTAAGCCCATGCACCACAACTACTGAGCCTGTGCTCTAGAGCCCACGAGCCACAACTACTGAGCCCACGTACCTGGAGCCCATGCTCCATAGCAAGAGAAGCCACCACAATGAGAATCCCATGCAACAAAGAGTAGCCCCCACTCGCCACAACTAGAGAAAGCCCGTGTGCAGCAATGAAGACCCAAAGCAGCCATAAAATTAATTTTAAAAAATTAAACTAAATTAAAATTAAAGAAAAAATTTGTAAAGAGAAAATGTAACATTGATCGTCTTTCTCCCTTCATAAAGAAGACTGCAACAAGCTAAATCGTGGTCCACAGCTTGGTGGCCTGTGAACTTCCCTCTGGGAAGTGTTAGCTGATGCTGATTCTCAGTTCCTCTAGAATAGGTGCTTACCCAATGCTCCAAACTCACCTGTACGAAAAGTATGACTTTATTTTTTCTTGGCAAGGTCTTTTGAGTTCCTCTTCTGCCAGATGGCAAAAACATTCTCTCTGTCAATGCTGGGCAATCACGGTCAGTTTAACAGGACCCCCTGACCTTTGCCCAACACCCACCCATACACACACTCCTTCCCTTTCCCAGGGCTGAGAGTACCAAGGAGTAAGGATAGGATAGATAGAGATATTGCCTGGTCCTCTGTCATTGTCTCTCCATGCTGGTATTTACTGTGACATCCTATTCCCACCTGGTTTCCAATTGCCAGACCATGAAGTCATGGTTATAACTCTATGTCCAAAAGGAAAGCCACTCTAGACTCTCCACTACTCCTCGTACCCTCTCAGAGGGGGTCGGACGCATTCACCCTCTCCCACACCACTCCGGGTCTCTGGCCAGCCTGCCATACGTGCATTCTTTCCATTGCTCCTACACCTCAAGAGGTACGGAAACTCTGGAGACTGGCCCACAGGATTCCTTCCGGATTCACCCGCCTCTAAGCTCACTACTGCTCTTTCTTCACCTTACAAGTCTAGGGAATTTTTATTTGGTCTTGGAGAAAAAGAAAGGCACTGGAAAAAGCTGGCTTTGACTGAGCACCTATTCTTATATGTCTGTGGTTAAGACATGATTTTATGCCCTGGGTTATTGATGACTCTAGCTTTTGAAGTTCAAAACCTTTTAATCACAAAAGTTTTATCTCTGCCTTGAGTTTCCAGAACATATTTTAAGCCTCAAAGCCCAGGGATTGACTTTTTGGGTATCTGCACTATGTTGCACCAACACTACACCAAGGTGTGGCTGCCAAGAGGTCTAGTGTGAAGGGGGAAGGATCATTGATTTTTTTTAATTATTTTTAAAAATCACGTGTATCAAAATAAGATTCCACTACATCTAATTGTAAAGATCCACACATTTTCTCCACTACAACTTACGTTTTAGCAACAAACTTTGCACATGTATGTACAGCATTTTGTACATGTGTTTTAAATTTTGTTGTTCTCTTTATTGAAACAGTTGTCAGACTTGTTTAAATTCAATAAGCATCAAATTTACTGTTTTTGGCATACCAAATGATATCTTCCTTTGTCTCAATTGTAAAATCATTAACATCAGCATTTTACTTTTCCATTTTCCACTCTACTTTTATAAATAAGGGCAAATACGCAATAAAATATTCAAGTAGTTATACAAACATTGCCATGTTCAGATGGCAACACTGCTAAAATGAAACTATTAGCTGGCAGACAGCAGTACTCTGAGGTAACATAAAATGGTTATTTGTCTACTGAAATAGAAAAGTCAAATTTGGTATAAGAAGGTGTTCAGAGGTATGGCTATATAATATATGAAAGGGCCACTTGTTCAAAAGTTAATGATTACCTGAATTTTGATTCATTAAATGTTTGTTCACTCTTACCTATCTTCACATCTCTAAGTGGAAACAATGAAAACAATTTTACTTGTAACGGCTTTATCAGGATATAATTCCCATACCCTACAATTCATCCAGGTAAGAAAAAACCCACACCTCTCATATTCCTTTGTCCCTCCTTTACCCTCACACTACTACCACGCTCACAAAACTTCTGATACCAGATGCTTGGGGGTTTCCCCCCACACCAAGCAATTCTCTGTGATACGAACAAGGTGTTCTACAATTCAGTTCAGTCTGACACTAACCAAAGTTAGCACAGACCCCACAGGTAAGGGCTCAGTCCCATAAGACTGCTCCCCACCTCAGACACCAAACCAAGCGGTAGGTCCCTAGGTTATCCACAACTGCAGTCTGACTTGGCTGCAAATTGGACGTTCCAAGACCACCATCACCCCACTATTAGACTCAGTTATTTGCTAGAACAGCTCACAGAACTCAGGGAAACACTTACCAACATTTATCAGTTTATCATAAAATAAAAGGGATGATAAAGGATACAGACGAACAGCCAAAGGAAGAGATAGATAAGGCAAAATCCAGCAGGGTGCCAGGTACGGGAGCGTCTATCCCTGTAGAGTCAGGGTGCACTACCCTCCCAGGATATAGATGTGTTTACCAACTCAGAAGCTCTCCAAACCCCATATTTTTGAAATTTTTATGGCGGCTTCATCATGTAGGCATGATCAATTATTCATTCAATTTCCAGCCCATCTCCCCTCTTGGAGTATTGGGCAGTGGAGTATGGGCATTATTTTTCATGGCTGAATAATATTCCATTGGATCTACAACATTTATTTATCCATTCATCAGTTAATAGACATTTGGATTGTTTCCACCTTTTAGCTATTATGAATAATGCTGCTAGGAACATTCACGTACAAGTTTTGTATGAATACATATTTGCAATTCTCTAGGAACAGAATTTCTGGGTTATACAGAAGCTCTATGTTTCATCTTTTGAGGAATTACCAGAATGTTTTCCAAAGTGTCTGCATCATTTTACGTTCCCACCAGCAGTATATGAGGATTCCAATTTCCTCCTGTCCTCACTAATACTTGTTAATATCCATCTTTTATCATTAAAAACATCTTAGTGAATGTGAAGTGGTATATCTCACTGTAGTTTTGATTTGCATTTTCCTGATGACCAAAAATGTCAAACATCTTTTCATGTGCTTATTGACCACTTGTGTATCTTTTTTGGAGAAAATGTGTATTTAGACTGAGTGGGTTATTTTTGTTTTTATTATTGAGTTTATGTGTTCTTTATATATTCTAGATACAAGTCCTTTAGCAGATAATATGATATGCAAACACTTCTTCCATTCAATAAGTTGTCTTTTCCTTCTTTTGATAGTGTCCTTTGATGCACAAAACTTTTTAAATTTTTATGAAGTCTAATTTATCTATTGATATGGACTGATTTTTTGGTCACCCCTACCACCTCTCAGAAAATTTATATGTTGAAGCCCTAACCCTTAATATGATAGTATTAGGAGATGGGGTCTTTAGGAGATAATTAGATCTAGATGAGGTCATGAGAGAAGGGCCCTCATGGTGAGATTAATGTCCTTGTAAGGAGAAACACCAGAGAGTTTTCTTCCTTCCTCCCTCCCTTCCTTCCTTCCTTCCTTCCTTCCTTCCTCCCTCCCTCCCTCCCTCTGTCCGTCCCTCCCTCCCTCTCTCTCTCTCTCTCTCTCTCTCTCTCTCTCTCCTGGCACTGTGATCTAAGACTCCCAGACTCCAGAACTGTGAGAAATAAATTTCTATTGTTGAAACCACCCAGTCCATGGCATTTTGTTATGAGAGCCTGAGCTAAGAAATTTATTTTTTCTTTTGTTGTGCATACTTGTGGTGTCTTATCTAAGAATCCATGACCAAATCCAAGGTCATGAAATTTTACCTCTGTTTTTTCTTCTAACAGTTCTTAGGTTTTAGCTCTTACATTTGGATCTTTGATCCATTTTTGGTCCATTTTGTATATGGCGTGAGGTAGGGATCAAACTTCATTCTTTTGTATGTGGATATCCATTTGTCTCAGCACCATTTATTGAAGAGACTGTTCCTCTCTATTAAATGCTCTTGGTACTCTTGTCAAAAATCAATTGGCCGGGGGCTTCCTTGGTGGTGCAGTGGTTAAGAATCTGCCACAAATGCAGGGGACACGGGTTCAAGCTCTGGTCCAGGAATATCCCACATGCCACGGAGCAACTAAGCCCATGTGCCACAACTACTGAGCCTGCACTCTAGAGCCCACGAGCCACAACTACCAAAGCCCGCGTGCCTAGAGCCCATGCTCAGCAACAAGAGAAGCCACCGCAATGAGAAGCCTGCACACAGCAATGAAGAGTAGCCCCAGCTTGCCACAACTAGAGAAAGCCCGTGTACAGCAACAAAGACCCAACACAGCCAAAAATTAATTAAATAAAATAAATTAATTTTTTTTAAAAAAAGGTTTTTTAAAAGTTGAGAGAGCAGACATACTTTTCTCTTTCCTTATTCTAGGGGAAAATCATTTAGTCTTTCACCATTAAGTATTGTATTAGCTGTGAGTTTTTCATAGATACCCTTTATCAGATTGAGGAAATTTCCTTCTATTCCTAATTTGTTGAATTTTTTGTTTTGGGGTTTTTTTTTTTGCAGTACACGGGCCTCTCACTGTTGTGGCCTCTCCCATTGCGGAGCACAGGCTCCGGACACGCAGGCTCAGCGGCCATGGCTCACAGGCCCAGCCACTCCGTGGCACGTGGGATCTTCCCGGACTGGGGCACGAACCTGTGTCCCCTGCATGAGCAGGTGGACTCTCAACCACTGCGCCACCAGGGAAGCCCTGTTGAATGTTTTTATAAAGAAAGTGTGTTGGATTTTTCTCACATGTTTCTTTCTGCATCTATTTATTTATATTATGTCAGTAATAATGTCCCCTCTCTTATTCTTGATTTTAGTAATATGAGTCTTCTCTCCTTTTTTCTTGGTCAGTCTAGCTAAAAGGCTTGTCAACTTTGTTGATCTTTCCAAGGAACCAACTTTTGGTTTGTTTATTTTTCTCTGCAGTTTTTCTATTCTGAGTTTAATTTCCACTCTAATCTTTATTGTTTCCTTTTTTTGCTTGCTTTAGTTTTGGTTTACTCTTCTTTTTCCTCAAGTATCTTAAGGTGGAAGGTTAAGTTATTGATTTGAGATCATTCCTCTTTTATAATACAGGTGCTGATAGCTACAAATTTCCCTCAAATTACTGTTTTAGCTGTATCCCATAAATTTTGTTATATTGTGTCTTCAATTTTTCTCTTTTCTCTTGTGATTTCTTCTTTGACTCATTGATTATTCAGTTGTTAATTCCACCTATCTGTTAATTTCCAAAATTTCTTTCAGTTATTGATTTCTAATTTAATTTCACTGCAGTTGAAGAACACTGAATAATTTCAATCCTTTCAAATCTATTGAATAAACAGCTGTCCATATATTTATTAATTCTATAACCTTTCTAATGGTTAATTTGCTCAAGTCTTCTGACCATATATTGTATGAACTTTTTGTATAAGAAACACATTAACCATTTGTCATCTTTGCTGTATTTTTCACATTTTGCGTGTATCTCATTTAATCTTGGTTACTTATGTAGAGAACTTTTAAATGTCTGTGTAGTCGAATATGTCTTTTCCTTTTTTAATTTGTTCTATCACTTAAAAGTTTGTAAGTTAAAAAAAATTAAGACAGGCCACAGACTGAAAGAAAATATTTGCAAGACACTTACCTGAAGAAAGATTATTATCCAAACTATATGAAGAAACCTTAAACCTCAACAATAAGAAAACAAACAACCCAATTTAACAATGGGCAAAAGATCTGATCAGACACCTTACAAAGAAGTTATACAAGTGGCAGATAAGGATATGAAAAGATAAGCATTTAAGGAATTACAACTTAAAACAACAATGAGATACCACTACACAGCTGTTAGAATGAGTAAAATCCAAAAGACTGATAACACCAAATGGTGGTGAGGATGTGGAACAACAGGAGCTCTCTCACTCATTGTGATGGTAATACAAAATGGTACAGAGACTTTGGAAGGCAGTTTGGCAGTTTTTTACAGAACTAAACATACTCTTACCATACGTTTCAATAAACACACTCTTTGGTATTTACCCAAATGACTTGAAAACTTAGGTCCACACAAAACTTGCATGAACGTTTATAGCAGCTTTATTCAGAACTGTTAAAACTTGAAAGCAACTAGAACAAATAATTCTAAAATTTGTATGGAAACATAAAAGACCCCGAATAGCCAAAGCAATCTTGAGAAAGAAGAACAAACCTGGAGGTATCATGTGTTCTGATTTCAACTGTAAAACAAAGCTATAGTAATCTAAACAGTATGGTACTGGCACAAAAGCAGACACACAGATCAATGGATCAGAATAGAGAGCGCAGAAATAAACCATATACAAAAGTAAACTAAAAATAGATTAAAGAGACTTAAATGTAAGACCTGAAATCATAAAACTCCTAGAAGAATACATAGTCAGTACACTCTTTGACAATGGTCTTAGCAATTTGGGGTGTGGGGGTGGGGGTTGGTTCTGTCTCCTCAAGAAGGGAAACAAAAGTGAAAATAAATAAATGGAAATACATAAAACTAAAAAGGTTTTCACAGCAAAGAAAACTATCAAAACAAAAAGGCAGCCTACTGAATGGGAGAAGATATTTGCAAATTATATATCCAATAAGAGGTTAATATCCAAAATATACAAAGAACTCATAAAACTCAACATTAGGGAATTCCCTGGCAGTCCAGTGGTTAGGACTCTGTGCTTTCACTTCTGAGGGCCTGGGTTTGATCCCTGGTCAGGGAACTAAGATCCCACAAGCTGCAAGCCATGGCCAGAAAAACAAAAAATCGAAAAAAAACCTCAACATCAAAAAAAAAACTGATTTTAAAATGGGCAGGGGTCCTGAATAGACATTTCTCCAAAGAAGACATACAGATGGCCAAAGACACATGAAAAGATGCTCAACATCACTAATCATCAGGGGAATGAAAATCAAAACTACACGAGATACCACCTCACACTTGTCAGAATGGCTGTCATCAAAAGGACAACAACTAGCAAGTGTTGGTGAGCACGTAGAGAAGAGGGAACCCTCATGCACTGTTGGTGGGATTGTAAATTGGTACAGCCAGTAAGGAAAACAGTTTGAAGATTCCTCAAAAAATTAAAGAGAGAGCCGCCATTTGATCCGGCAATTTCACTTCTGGATATTTACCCAAGAAAAGCAAAAACTAATTTGAAAAGATATATACACACCAATATTCATTGCAGCATTATTTACAGTAGCCAAGATATGGAAGCAACTTAAGTGTCCATGGATAGATGAATGGAAGAAGAAGATGTGAAATATTACTCAGCCACCAAAAAAAAAAAAATCTTGCCATTTTCAACAACATGGATGGATCTAGAGGGCATTATGCTAAGTGAAATAAGTCAGAGAAAGAGAAATACTGCATGATGTCACTTGTTTGTGGAATCTAAAAAACAAAACAAACAAAAGAAAATAAAAACAAACTCATAGATACAAAGAACAAATGAGTAGTTGCCAAAGGGGAAGGGAATGGGGTGGGGCAAAAAAATAGGTGAAGGGGACTAAGAGGTATGAACCTCCAGTTGTACAATAAATGAGCCACAGGGTTGTAATATACAGCATAAGGCATATGGGTAATAATATTTTACTAACTTTGTATGGGAACACATGGCTACTAGACTTACCACACTGACCATTTCATAATGTATGCAAATGTCATATCACTATGTAGTACACAGGAAACTAACATAATATTGTATGTCAACCATATTTCAATATTTTTTAAAGGCTTATAATCTATCTGTACTTTTTAAATGTGTAAAATTATTAGAGACTAATGTGAAAGTACAGTTGACCCTTAAACAACATGGGTTTGAACTGAGCCGGTCCACTTTTTTTTTTTTTTTTCACTTCTTAATCTATATTTTACTTACTTACTTTTTGGCTGCACCGTGAGGCTTGTGGGATTTTAGATCCGTGACGAGGGATCTAACTCAGGCCGAAGACAGTGAGAACACCAAGTCCTAACCACTGGACTGCCAGGGAATTCCCAGCCAGTCCACTTCTAAGCAATTTTTCTCCAATAAATACAAAGCACAAGTGAGATTTGTTCAAGATGGCAGAGGAGAAGGACATGCTCTCACTCCCTCTTATGAGAGCACCAGAATCACAACTAACTGCTCAACAATCATCAACAGGAAGACACTGGAACTCACCAAAAAAGATACCCCACATCCAAAGACAAAGGAGAAGCCACAATGAGACAGTAGGAGGGGTGCAATCACAACAAAATCAAATCCCATCACTGCTGGGTGGGTGACTCACAAACTGGAGAACACTTATACCACAGAAGTCCACCCACTGGAGTGAAGGTTCTGAGCCCCATGTCAGGCTTCCCAACCTGGGGGTCTGGCAACGGGAGGAGGAATTCCTAGAGAATCAGAATTTGAAGGCTAGCGAGATTTGATTGCAGGACTTCTACAGGACTGGGGGGAACAGAGACTCAAATCTTGGAGGGCACACACAAAGTAGTGTGTGCATTGGGACCCAGGGGAAGGAGCAGTGACCCTATAGGAGGCTGAACCAGACCTACCTGCCAGTGTTGGAGGGTCTCCTGCAGAGGCGGAGGGTGGCTGTGTCTCACCGTGAGGACAAGGACACTGACAGCAGAAGTTCTGGGAAGTACTCCTTGGCGTGAGCCCTCCCAGAGTCTGCCATTAGCCCCACCAAAGAGCCTGGGTAGGCTCCAGTGTTGGGTTGCCTCAGGCCACACAACCAACAGGGAGGGAACCCAGCCCCACCCATCAGCAGAGAAGCAGATTAAACTTTTACTGAGCTCTGCCACCAGAGCAACAGTCAGCTCTACCCACCACCAGTCCCTCCCATCAGGAAACTAGCACAAGCCTCTTAGATAGCCTCATCTACCAGAGGGCAGACAGCAGAAGCAAGAAGAACTACAGTCCTGCAGCCTGTGGGAAAAAAAACACATTCACAGAAAGATAGACAAGATGAAAAGGCAGAGGGCTATGTACCAGATGAAGGAACAAGATAAAACCCCAGAAAAACAATTAAATGAAGTGGAGATAGGCAACCTTCTAGAAAAAGAATTCAGAATAATTATAGTGAAGATGATCCAGGACCTCGGAAAAAGAGTGGAGGCAAAGATCGAGAAGATGCAAGAAATGTTTAACAAAGATGTAGAAGAATTAAACAACAAACAAACAGAGATGAACAATACAATAACTGAAATGAAAACTACACTAGAAGGAATCAATAGCAGAATAACTGAGGCAGAAGAATGGATAAGTGACCTAGAAGACAGAATGGTGGAATTCACTGCTGCGGAACAGAATAAAGAAAAAAGAATGAAAAGAAATGAAGACAGCCTAAGAGACCTCTGCGACAAGATTAAATGCACTAACATTCGCATTATAGGGGTCCCAGAAGAAGAGAGAGAAAAAGGACCCAAGAAAATATTTGAAGAGATTATTGTCAAAAACTTCCTTAACATGGGAAAGGAATAGCCACCCAAGTCCAGGAAGTGCAGAGAGTCCCATACAGGATAAACCCAAGGAGAAAAATGCCAAGACACTTAATAATCAAATTGGCAAAAATTAAAGACAAAGAAAAATTATTGAAAGCAGCAAGGGAAAAATGACAAATAACACACAAGGGAACTCTCATAAGGTTAACAGCTGATTTCTCAGCAGAAACTCTACAAGCCAGAAGGGAGTGGCATGACATATTTCAAGTGATGAAAGGGAAGAACCTACAATTAAGATTACTCTACCCGGCAAGGAGCTCATTCAGATTCGATGGAGAACTCAAAAGCTTTACAGACAAGCAAAAGCTAAGAGAATTCAGCAACACCAAACCAGCTCTACAACAAATGCTAAAGGAACTTCTCTAAGTGGAAAACACAAGAGAAGAAAAGGACCTACAAAAACAAACACAAAACAATTAAGAAAATGGTCATAGGAACATACATATCGACAATTACCTTAAACATGAATGGATTAAATGCTCCAAGCAAAAGACACAGGCTTGCTGAATGGATACAAAAACAAGACCCATCTATATGCTGTCTACAAGAGACCCACTTCCAACCTAGGGAAACATACAGACTGAAAGTGAGGGGATGGAAAAAGATATACTATGCAAATGGAAATCAAAAGAAAGCTGGAGTAGCAATACTCATATCAGATAAAATAGACTTTAAAATAAAGAATGTTACAGAGACAAGGAAGGACACTACATAATGATCAAGGGATCAATCCAAGAAGAAGATATAACAATTATAAATATATATTCACCCAACATAGGAGCATCTCAATACATAAGGCACCTGCTAACAGCTATAAAAGAGGAAGTCAACAGTAACACAATAATAGTGGGGGACTTTAACACCTCACTTGCATCAATGGACAGATCATCCAGACAGAAAATTAATAAGGAAACACAAGCTTTAAATGACACAATAGACCAGATAGATTTAATTGATATTTCTAGGACAGTACATCCGAAAACAGCAGATTACATTTTCTTCTCAAGTGCACACATAACATTCTCCAGGATAGATCACATCTTCGGGCACAAATCAAGCCTCAGTAAATCTATGAAAATTGAGGGCTTCCCTGGTGGCGCAGTGGTTGTGAGTCTGCCTGCCAATGCAGGGGACACGGGTTCAATCCCTGGTCCAGGAGGATCCCATGTGCCACAGAGCAACAAAGCCTGTGGGCCACAACAACTAGAGCCCATGCTCCGCAGCAGGGGAAGCCACTGCAATGAGAAGCCTGCATACCGCAGTGAAGACCGGCCCCCATTCTCTGCAACTAGAGAAAGACCGCAAGCAGCAGCGAAGACCCAAGGCAGCCAAAATTAAATAAATAAATAATTTAAAAAATTTTTTTTAAAAAAAGAAAATTGAAATTATATCACCAACTTTTCTGACCACAACACTGTGATATTAGAAATCAATTACAGGGAAAAAAACATTAAAAACACAAACAAATGGAGGCTAAACAATACGTTACTAAATAACCAAGAAATCACTGAAGAAATCAAAGAGGAAATCAGAAAATACCTAGAGACAAATGACAATGAAAACATGACGATCCAAAACCTATGGGATGCAGGAAAAAGATTACTAAGAGGGAAGTTTATAGCAATACAAGCCTACCTCAAGAAACAAGAAAAATCTCAAATAAACAATCTAACCCTACACCTAAAGGAACTAGAGAAAGAAGAACAAACAAAACCCAAAGTTAGCAGAAGGAAAGAAATCATAAAGATCAGAGCAGAAATAAATGAAATAGAAACTAAGAAAACAATACCAAATATCAATAAAACTAAAAGCTGGTTCTTTCAGAACATAAACAAAATTGATAAACCTTCAGCCAGACTCATCAAAAAAAAGAGGGAGAGGACTCAAATCAATAAAATTAGAAATGAAAAAGGAGAAGTTACAACAGACACTGCAGAAATACAAAGCATCCTAAGAGACTACTACAAGCAACTCTAGTCAATATAATGGACAACTTGGAAGAAATGTACACATTCTTAGAAAGGTATAACCTTCCAAGACTGAACCAGGAAGAAATAGAAAGTATGAACAGACCAATCACAAGTAATGAAATTGAAACTGTGGTTAAAAATCTTCCAACAAACAGAAGTCCAGGACCAGATGGCTTCACAGGTGAATTCTATCAAACGTTTAGAGAAGAGCTAACACCCATCCTTCTCAAACTCTTCCAAAAAATTGCAGAGGAAGGAACACTCCCAAACTCACTCTATGAGGCCACCATCACCCTGATACCAAAACCAGACAAAGATGTCACAAAGAAAGAAAATTACAGACCAATATCACTGATGAACATAGATGCAAAAATCCTCAAAAAAATACTAGCAAACAGAATCCAACAACACATTAAAAGGATCATACACCACGATCAAGTGGGATTTATCCCAGGGATGCAATGATTCTTCAATATATGCAAATCAATCAATGTGATACACCATATTAACAAATTGAAGAATAAAAACCATATAATCATCTCAATAGATGCAGAAAAAGCTTTTGACAAAATTCAACACCCATTTATGATAAAAGCTCTCCAGAAAGTGGGCATAGAGGGAACCTGCCTCAACATAATAAAGGCCATATACAACAAAGCCACAGTGAACATCATTCTCAATGGTGAAAAATTGAAAGCATTTCCTCTAAGATCAGGAACAAGACAAGGATGTCCACTCTCACCACCATTATTTAACATAGTTTTGGAAATCCTAGCCACAGCAATCAGAGAAGAAAAAGAAATAAAAGGAATACAAATTGGAAAAGAAGAAGTAAAACTGTCACTGTTTGCAGATGACATGATACTATACATAGAGAATCCTAAAGATGCCACCAGAAAACTACAAGAGCTAATCAATGAATCTGGTAAAGTTGCAGGATACAAAATTAATGCACAGAAATCTCCTGCATTCCTATACACTAATGATAAAAATCTGAAAGAGAAATTAAGGAAACACTCCCATTTACCATTGCAACAAAAAGAATAAAATATCTAGGAATAAACTTACCTAGGGAGACAAAAGACCTGTATGCAGAAAACTATGAGACACTGATGAAAGAAATTAAAGATGATACCAACAGATGAAGCGATATACCATGTTCTTGGATTGGAAGAATCAATACTGTGAAAATGACTCTACTACCCAAAGCAATCTACAGATTCAGTGCAATCCCTATCAAATTACCAATGGCATTTTTTACGGAAATAGAACAAAAAAATCTTAAAATTTGCATGGAGACACAAAAGACCCCGAATAGCCAAAGCAGTCTTGAGGGAAAAGAATGGAGCTGGAGGAATCAGACTCCCTGACTTCAGACTATACTACAAAGCTACAGTAATCAAGACAATATGGTACTGGCACAAAAACAGAAACATAGATCAATGGAACAAGATAGAAAGCCCAGAGATAAACCCACACACCTATGGTCACCTAATCTATGACAAACGAGGCAAGGATATACAATGGAGAAAAGACAGTCTCTTCAATAAGTGGTGCTGGGAAAACTGGATAGCTACATGTAAAAGAATGAAATTAGAACACTCCCTAACACCATACACAAAAATAAACTCAAAAGGGATTAGAGACCCAAATGTAAGATCAGACATTATAAAACTCTTAGAGGAAAACATAGGAAGAACACTCTGACATAAATCACAGCAAGATTTTTTTTCATCCACCTCCTAGAGTAATAGAAATAAAAACAAAAATAAACAAATGGGACCTAATGAAACTTAAAAGCTTTTGCACAGCAAAGGAAACCATAAACAAGATGAAAAGACAATGCTCAGAATGGGAGAAAATATTTGCAAATGAATCAATAGACAAAGGATTAACCTCCAAAATATATAAACAGCTCATGCAGCTCAATATTAAAAAAAACAAACAACCCAATCCAAAAATGGGCAGAAGACCTAAATAGACATTTCACCAAAGAAGACATACAGATGGCCAAGAAGCACATGAAAATCTGCTCAACATCACTAAATATTAGAGAAATGCAAATCAAAACTACAATGAGATATCACCTCACA